CCCCTTTCCCGTTAAGATATCCTGCAGCAGCCGCACGTGCTCCAGATCCGCAAGGAGCCGCGGGACCCTGCGTGTCTCCCTTGCTCGCTGTGAGCGCAGGACAGAAACTTCCCCCACACTCCAGCCCCTCTTCCTGCATCACACATTCCCTTGAGGAAACGTCCCTTCCTGACCCCTCTGGTCCCAGCTCCCCGAGTTTTCTCTGTACAACAACTGCTGCCATAACCACTCCTGGCAGTGCCGTCCCTGCTTACGAAGGCACAGCCCAACGTCCCACCCCACCTTGTGCCCCCACTCATCCTCCCACCACTCTTCTCCAAATTCTTGGCACGCGCGGGACAGGCTGGTGCCACTTTCGCACCGTGACCCCTCAGCATCCCTTCGCTCTGGACGCCCCACAGCCTCGGCCACCCCGTGAGACCAAGAAAGGCGACTCGCTGCCCCTCCTTCGGCAGGGGAATGGTCGGGCCCTCGGCGCGCTCCGTAGTCCCACCACTTCCTGTGGAATCCAACCGGCTGTGCCCCGGTGTTTCATGGTCACCAGATTTCCGTAGCTCCCTCACTTTACCCCCATTCCTGCCTAAACGCACAGAGCAAAGCAAGGGAGGTCTTTGCTACTTTTAGCTGCTGGCCAGTGGTTTCTTCACATGCCTTCTCTATTTTCCTTCCTCTGCTCAGGGAGCAGGGCCATCGATCCAACGGGACAGGAAGGACTGAGTGGGAAACAGCCCAAGCAGCAAGCCCAAGTAGCGCAGCGGGAAGCCGTTGGAGCCAGCGGAGGCTGCATTACACACCGCAGAGGTGGGCATACGCGGAGGAAGGTTCCCAAGCAGGAGTGCAGCAGCAGAAATAGGACAGAGAAGCAGTAGGATCCGCCACCCGAGGAAGCGAGGACACAGTGCTTCCTCACCTGGGACTCCATGGCACCAGCTCCTGCCCTGGCCAGTGCCCACAGGTTATCTCAACCCTCCATCACGTGTGGGGAGGAAGGACCGAGCCCTCGGAGCACCACGGAAAGGGTCAGCCCTACATGTCTGACCGCCCGGCCGTGCCCCACGCTGCGATGACGAGACAAACGTGTGCATGAGTGGGGCTCTGCAACCGCCTCTGGCCGAAGATGCCATGGCCTCCCAGAGGTACAGCAGCTCCTGTCCTGAAGCTTCCTCCAGTCAGGCCCTCTGCAAACCTTAGCCCCAGCCCGTGATTAAGACCCCCATCTTCCCTGCATCCCTCCAGCTGCTACACCCTTCCCATTTGCTTCCGTCAGCACCCCGCTCATGATTGTTCCCCTGGAGAGGAGAATGGCAGTGGGCAGCGAGCAGATCCCAGTCACGCATTAGGAAAGTTCTTTCTACCACCTCATTCCAACTTCTCTGTGAGCTGGGGACCCAGCTTCCTGCAGCCTTGAAACGCAGTTACTCAGTTCTTATAAACTGCCAAGCTGGTTTGGGCTGGGAGCTGTGTGAGAGCACGGTGACAAAGCCCAGCAGCCATTCCTACAGGTGAGCTCAGGTACGGGATGCTACGAGGTTTTAACAGAACAGAACAGGAAACAGGACCAATACAGACACAGACACTGATGAAGACTATCTTTGGTAAGGATCTGGAAAGACGGTGCTGTAAGCTGGCAAAGATGAACGCAGACTGAGCTCACAGTCTGAAGTGGCTCCAGGAAATGTACACACTCAGAAAACTCCCACCAAAGGAAAAAAGAGGGAGAGGAGGGGAGAGGAGGGGAGAGGGAACCAAATTAAGAGCTCAGTTTAAGTAAAAATAAAATCTGGTGTTTCCCAGCATGAGAAAATAAATGTCACAGCTACACCCAAAGAGTGGAAGTCTCTCAGTCCACCAGTTACATGCAAACCCACCCTTTCTTCCGGGGGGAGGGTGGGGGGTCATTATCAATGTGAGGGCCATCTAATCACAAAGCTCAAGCCACAGGAGACAGAAGGCTTCTCTAGCTGTCCAGCAGAGGCCAACAGCAGTGACAGCAGCGGCACAAGGGCCACATCAGCTATAGGAAAGATTCGCAGAGAAGTCACAGATATCAAGCAGCAACAAACTGGGAGCAGGGAAAATCGGTGGGAACATGGACATTACCTTGCCCCGTCCTTCCAGCTGCCCCTTTCAGCCCTCCACCGCTTCCATGGCCGGCCCGGCCAAATCACTGCGCCCGCAGCGCTGCGCGCGGAACTGGAGAGCGGGTGGATCTCACCAGCTCCGGGTAAGAGCAGAGCCGCCCCGTGCGCGACCGCGGGCTGTGGTGTATTGGAATACACGGCGATAACTGGCGGCTGACGTCACCGCTGTATCAGAATTACTGTGCCGATAGAAGGATGTGGTGAGCAGAGGAGGCAATGAATTCATGTCCGAACACCCACACAACACTTGTTACTGTATTGCTCTGCTCTCTTACTCTCATGTGAGAAAAAGGTGGGAGAGCAGATAAAAACTCACAAGCTTCAGACCTAAAATGTCACAGTGGGGTGGTGGAGTTGGAGCCTTGCAGTGGGAGGCATCAGTGCCAAGGCATTGCGTGGTTAAGCCTAACGATACAGCACAGCGGGTACCACATCAGACAGCCAAGCACCACCGCACTCTGCTTCCACCTGTCCCCAGAATGTCCCCTGGGACCAGGGCAACAGCACCGGACCACAGGCAGGGAGGTGGTCTGGCTCCTGCATGGGTGGAGGGTCTCGCCCCTACCCCCTCCATCTCACGCCTGCAGCTTGTGTCTGGGCTGGGGCTCTGCAAGGCTGACACCCTGGGAGGACACGTCAACTCACCCCCACACCCCTCGAAGGGGGCTGCAGGGAGCCCAACGCACGGGCAGTGTCCTCGGGCGAGAGGGACAGAAGCAGCACTGCAGAGGGGATGCGGCACACAGCGTAGTGCAGCAGCAGGAGGGTAAGCGAGGAGCTGGGATAACCCAAGGAGACTGCAGCAGTGAGCGGGCACACAGCAGCAGGGCGAGCTGGTCTGTGCCCAGCCCCGACCGCGGAGCTGGAGTCTGCTGCTCCTGCTGAGCCCACCGACAGCGAGGGGTGCAAGGACTTGGCATGGCACAGCACGGCCCAGCCAGGCAGCCTGGGATGGTCAGCCCTTACCCAGGCTCCTCGGGGCTCCTCGGATGCCCTAAGGGAAGTCACAGGTCTGGAAGAGTCACGGCTGGTGAGTCGAAGCGCAGTATGTTTTTATAGCAGCTAAAGACCAAAATAAACCCCATCCCTCGGGCAGGCAAGGACGCAGCAGTCGCAGGCCATAGGGGACATCAGCCTGTCAGAAGATGATCAGGACAGGCGGTCCCAGCTCCGTATTGAGCAGCAGCAGCTGCCTCTCATGTACTGATATTTGAAAAACAGTCAGGAGCTTACTGCTCCCAGCATACATAGCATCTGTTGGAACAGGAAGGAGAAATACAGATTTGAAAGGCTGCTGACCCTGCCCTGGAGCAATGAATACAGCCATGGGGAAACCACCAGTAACAGTGCAAGAGAGAGCATCCCTGATTTCTATGCTGACACCCAGGCAGGAGCGAGGTGAGGAGACATTCCCAGGAGATGGTAAGAGTGTTAACAACATGCCAGAGTGTTTAAAAAAGGAAGTAGGGTATT